TTGTTCAATTGCACTCTTTAGCTTGTTGTAACTTTTGCTATAAGAGGGTTACTTTCTTAGAAAACATCTCAGGAGAGAAGTTGGAGCGGAAACAAGGAGTGTTTAGTCGACCTCCTCGATGGTGGGGCCGGAGGACCCACCACTGCCGGGTGCAGCACCACCAGCTCCAGGGAAACCACCAGGCATGCCCTCTGGCATTCCACCGGGCATTCCACCAGCACTCTGGTACAGCTTGGTGATGATGGGGTTGCACACCTTCTCCAGTTCCTTCTGTTGATGTTCATACTCCTCCTTCTCGGCAGTCTGCAACAAAAAAACAAATGTTAGTGTTTTAATACCAATTCATATTGTGGCTAAAAGACTACAAAAGATTAAATAAATACCTGGTTCTTGTCTAGCCAGCTGATGACCTCATTGCACTTGTCCAGAATCTTCTGCTTGTCATCCTCACTGATCTTACCAGCAAGTTTTTCATCCTCCACGGTTGACTTCATGTTGAAAGCATATGACTCAAGGCCATTCTTGGAAGACACCTTGTCACGCTGGGAGTCATCCTCTGCCTTGTACTTCTCAGCTTCCTGAACCATGCGTTCAATGTCCTCTTTGCTGAGTCGCCCTGGGAGTAAATTGCAAATTGTCAAAAATGTTGAGGGGGAACATTTGAGATAATGTTAAGAGTAAAACTATAAAAATCTGAAACTCACCCTTGTCATTGGTGATGGTGATCTTGTTCTCCTTGCCAGTGCTCTTGTCGACCGCAGAAACATTCATGATGCCATTGGCATCAATATCAAATGTCACCTCAATCTGGGGAACACCACGGGGAGCAGGAGGGATGCCCGTCAGCTCAAACTTGCCAAGCAGGTTGTTGTCCCTGGTCATAGCACGCTCACCTTCATACACCTGTTTGAAGCATGAAGGGTTAAGTACAGGATTTTTAAGTAGTACTCAGTTCTAGTCAACTTTATTTCGCTCAGACATCCAAGGAAGGTTTGTGCCATCTTTGGTCTTGCAACCTCTGGTGGAAACTACGAATGGCAGGAATAATCGTCATCACTGCGAAAAGATTTATGCGAATGACTGGTGTTGCGCTTACTTGGATGAGCACACCAGGCTGGTTGTCAGAGTAGGTTGTGAAGGTCTGAGTCTGCTTGGTTGGAATGGTTGTGTTTCTTTTGATCAGGACAGTCATGACACCTCCAGCGGTCTCAATACCCAGGGAGAGAGGGGTGACGTCCAGAAGCAACAAGTCCTGGACATTCTCAGACTTGTCACCAGACAGGATGGCAGCCTGGACAGCTTTAAGGAGGAAACAAAAAAAGAGACTTTGTTAGAAAAATCATGTTTATGTCATTAATGCCCATGACATCCAACTGCTACAGTGGTGCTGCTCTCACAATGCAGCTTGGATGGGAATAAAATGTGTGACACTTACCAGCCCCGTAAGCCACAGCTTCATCTGGATTGATGCTCTTGTTGAGCTCCTTTCCATTGAAGAAATCTTGGAGCAGCTTCTGAATCTTGGGGATACGGGTTGAGCCACCAACCAACACAATGTCATGGATCTGCCCTTTGTCCATCTTGGCATCACGGAGTGACTTCTCCACGGGGTCCAAGGTGCCACGAAAGAGGTCAGCATTCAGCTCCTCGAAACGAGCCCTGGTGATTGAGGTGTAGAAATCAACTCCCTCGTACAGAGAGTCGATTTCTATGCTGGCCTGGGTGCTGGAAGACAGGGTGCGCTTTGCCCGCTCACAAGCTGTGCGCAGACGGCGGACAGCTCTTTTGTTGTCGCTGATGTCTTTCTTGTACTTCCTCTTGAACTCAGCAATGAAGTGGTTGACCATGCGATTGTCAAAATCTTCCCCACCAAGATGTGTATCTCCAGCAGTAGATTTGACCTCAAAGATTCCATCCTCAATGGTCAAGATGGATACATCAAAGGTGCCACCACCAAGATCAAAGATGAGGACGTTCCTTTCAGCCCCAACCTGAAATTAGTATTAACATTTATAGTGTAAGAGGCTTCCTGAATTAACTCGTACACATTAGACATCATTCAAGTATACCGCTGATAATCAAGACCGTAGGAAAATCAAAATAGTTATAGTTACGTTTTTTACCTTCTTGTCCAACCCATAGGCGATGGCAGCGGCAGTTGGTTCGTTGATGATACGCAGAACGTTAAGGCCGGAGATTGTGCCCGCATCCTTAGTGGCCTGGCGCTGGGAGTCGTTGAAGTAGGCAGGTACCGTGATCACGGCATTGTTGACAGTCTAAACAAGAGAAATGTTAGCATATTGTACATCATAGCTTGCAGGTAATTTCCTAAGCTATGACAAATTACATACCTTTCCGAGGTAGGCTTCAGCAATCTCCTTCATCTTAGTAAGCACCATAGACGAGACCTCCTCTGGGTAGAAGGACTTTGACTCGCCTTTGTACTCAACTTGAAGCTTGGGGCGAGTGTTGTCATTGATGACATTAAAGGGCCAGTGCTTCATGTCGGACTGCACAACTGCATCGTCAAACCTGCGACCGATCAGTCGTTTAGCATCTGCAAAAGAGCTTGTCATTAGTTTCACAAAATAAAGAAATTGCATCGGTTCTAATGCAAGCTTCCATTAAGATCACTCAGACATCCAAGGAAGGTTTGTGCCATCTTTGGTCTTTCAACCTCTGGTGGAAACTACGAATGGCAGGAATAATCGTCATCACAGTGAGAAAGTGCTTTATTTAAAGACTATACCAAATATTACGTCTTTCGTTATTGTCGTTTAATTAGAAGTCATTTTATGATCAGTGTAGGATAAATGTGCAAAATCTGACTATTCAATGAAGAGGATTTATTTATTTTAAAATATGACAACCACACCATTCGAAACAAATTCGTTTTTTTACCGAAAACTGTGTTGGTGGGGTTCATGGCCACTTGATTCTTGGCTGCATCTCCAATCAGCCTCTCAGAATCTGTGAAGGCCACATAGCTGGGTGTGGTCCTGTTACCCTGGTCGTTGGCAATGATTTCAACTTTGCCATGCTGGAACACACCAACACAGGAGTAGGTGGTACCAAGGTCGATACCAACTGCTGGTCCCTTAGACATATTTCCTACAGAAAAAAAGAAAAATATTGGTTAACCTTAGATTAAAGAGAAGAATTTCCGCCCATGACACGGGACACAAATACCAGATAGAACTTAAATGATCATTTGCAGAGAAAGGCAATCAGTCATAACTTTACTGCGACAAACTTAAAGGAAAATTGTCCCTTGGGGAAGGGTTTTAAAAAAGACGTGTGGGAGACTATAGAAGGTTCACAATTAACACTAGTCAAACTCAATGTTGGCTGAATTAAATGTTTTAGTCACCAATGGACAATGTTATCCTTCTGCATTATGTTGAACAAAATTATATATAATATTCATTAACGTTTCGCCATTCATTTACAAGCATATCACTGCTGCAGAAAGCATTTAGCTAGTCCCAGCCATGTGACAATGAGTGAAGTGCACAACCGTTAGGCCAGAATTGAGACCGGAAAGGGCAACTTTTAAATATTCAAGCGAATAAAACGAAATTACCCTATAAGGCGAACAAATATGTTAGAAAAGGGTGGGCTGATTAAAAGATGGCCTACAAACAATTACAAAAAGATGCATCGTGATACAAGGACTTGATTGATGAATAAACCGGAAGTACGATCAAGTTTGCTAGCTTGACACCGTTTGTTCGAGAACATTCTGGAACGTCTCAGAATCCCTGCCCCCACAATTTCTGCTCGGCTAAGAAGCTAATGTTAGCTAATCCAGTGCCCGTGAATTCAGCCTCTACGTCCCTTAGAAGTACTTATCTACATGTGTATACGTCCAAATGCGTTATACTTGGCAATAGTAATCAAACAACCGCAATACATGTCGTATGGCATTAAATAACATTAACATTTCCGAGGGTGAGTAAGCATTAGCTAAATGCTATCGATATCGTCAGTAAACTAGATTGAAACAACCCAGGAGCATTTCGTTGAATATAACTCAAACATAAACATAGTGTTTGCGAATCTCAGAGTAACTTACCGAATTGTTGAACCGTAGATTACTTGTGTGTTGGGTTGGAATGGACAGCGGCGACGGTGACTAGTCCTTGCCGGTATGAGAGGGGAAAGGAAAGAATGACTGCTGTCCGGCCAGTATATATATCCGGCAAAACAGCCAATCAGATGTCGAGTCTTGGAGTCTTTCCTCAACGGTCCACCAATGAGTCGTTGGTGACGCTAATAACGATCCAGCTGACTTCCTGTTTTATTTCATAAACGCTGTGAAAGACCGCATGGCCCAAGACTATACTGTAGCTTTGTGTGGTGATACAAGATGTAGTTAGGTAACAAACGATCCTTTTCAGATGTATTTTATTTCCGAAGTATTCATGTGTATAATTATATTGAAGCCGTGTTATTTTAGTGAGGAGTTATTGAGGAATACGCAAGTAGAGGCAAGCAGCGGCGATTTAATTATGAGATAGGCCGTAGGCGTAGAGTAGAACCTTCACCCGCATCCACCACAACGAACCAGATGTACCTGCCTAGTATACACTGCTAAGTCAAGCCTCGCTCAAACAAACTGTCGTGAATAATTCACTTAATTGTTATAATAACGCAAACATTAAAACTCCAACTGAATGAGGCAATCTGATCTGAAAGCTGCCATTTGCCGAACATGTTTGTTCATTCACAGCTTTGATATGGGAAATTTGACGTTTTCTTAGATATAACTAACTAAAGGTTTAATGGTAAATGTCTGCTTGGATAAAGCAACTAATGAAAGGTGGTCAGATTGGAGAGAAATAAATGTTTTGAGTGGTGATACATAGTCACATTTTGTTCACCAGAAACCATACCTTGAGGAACAAGCAGGATATAGATGAACAGTTGCATTGATTAGGCAACATCACCAGCTACTTTCCACAGAACTCATTCATGTTCAAAAGCATGCTATTATATTATAGCAAAAATTACAATTTATTGTGACATGTAAATGTAACATTGATAGAATATTTACAATAAGTACAGTAGCATACTTAAGTTAAAAGCAAGTCACCATATTATTTTCTGTGTAAAAATAGTCCTACATCCTTTTTTACAAGTGCAATAACAAAAAATGTGGGCATTATAATGTTGCTCATGATATTGCTGAAGTTATGAATGCTGTATTTGACAGATTGTTAAAGCTCCGTCTCCTTTATGTCACACTTGGTTGATGTTTGTCCCGGGGTTGGATGTTGAGAATTCTTCTCTTTAGATGCACCCTCAGCTTCTGCCATCGCAGCAGTGTTTGTCACCGAGGTTATCACTGTTGGTTTCTCAACGACGTACTGTGTGAATGCTGTGTTGAAGAACCCTGTTTGAAAGAGAGAGTGTTTTACAATCAGTGACTCATACTGCCCTGTTGGAAAGAAAGATGAGTCACCAGTGATGGCCACAACTTTATTTCCTGTTCCTCTCCACCAAGCCTTTCATTCCCTATGGCTAAAAGCTGGATGGATCTAATAATCACATTAAAGTTCAACCCATTGCACAACATTTCTGTAAATTATCTGTCTTCATAAGGCCTAGGAATATGTGGAATTCAAAAGTTTGCAGTTAGATTACAGTTTAAGCAGGCACAAATGTTTTTCAGTTCATGTGCATACTTCTTCTGAAAAGAGTCTTTAAAAGAAGTGCTGAACCATTTGCTTACCTCTCCGCCTTTGTCCTTGAGAGTTCCTCTCTTCCTGGCTTGATTTTGATTTACTGCTCTCCTCTGATGGATCAGAGTCCTCATTTTCTGTAACAATAAAAACGATCATATATTTTTTATTTATTTAAAGTACTTGCTGCTTTGTGGTTTAACTACAAGACAATATGTAGAAGCAAAAAAAATAGGTCGGCTTACCTCTCTTCCAAGTGATGTGCGCTCTCCTGAGCTTGATGGCGAAAAAAATGATGACAACGAGAAGACCGAATATCAGACAAGTAACCAGGAAGACCAGTAGTGAACTTCCTCCAGTCCGCATCCTCGGGTCATTTAAGATATCTGGGAATTTACAGAAGGTTGGTAGTTAGCCCAGCAATTGCCATAAAGGCTTTATCCCCTTTGTTTGTGTAAGGCAAGACTGTTGACTAATTATAATTTTCAAACCAAAGCAACAGAAGTTTAGTCTCCGCCATGCAGACACTGCACCTTTAAAAGTGTAAATTCACCTGTTTTGTTTCCCTCTGTGTGGTTATTGGAGGTGTTCTCTGTTGTCTCAGAGACAGATGTCCAGCCTTTAAGGAATTATGAAGAATGGAGGTACAATTAATAACAGGTCTAGATCTGCGTGTTGCATGCTGAATAATCCCTGTTTCCTAAATAGAACAACTCAATAATGGTTGTTCAAAGTATTGTCACTTGAATTTGACATCACATCATATACACACAAAAACAGTTTGACTCACTGGTATTGCTGAGAGTTGAGTGTTTGGATGAAGCAAGGTTCAGTGCTGATGTGACCGTCTCTGGCTCACTGGAGGAAAACAGCTGAGTAGAGGGCCCTAACTCTGCAGGGCCCTCTGATGAAGGCCCTTTAAGATCTCTGGTTGTAATGTACCGTGTTCTCTGGGCCTCTGTTGAGCCTGGGGGCCAGGCTGTTGGAGAACGGGTCAAAGTTGTGTGCTGGGACATTGTTGCTGTAACAGAGAGGAGGTTTATGTTATTAATTCTTATTAAACAATTGTGGTTATTCAGAATTACCACTAGGTGGGATCCGACTGCCATTTGTCTAGAAATGCTCTGTTTGTATCATACCTGTAGCACTTGTTGCATTACTGATGGTGTCATTCCTCCTCCTGGTTGAGTTATCTTATGAGAAAATAGAAATCACAGGGTTTATCTTCTTAATTTGTTTAAGGAAATACATTTTCGTCATGCATAAAACAAGCAGATGAATTAATAAATATTATTTAAGAAGGTGGAAACTGAAATGTTATGTGTAACGCTAAATCAAGAATTGTGAGGCTTCAGTTTTCCATCTTCAGAATTAATAAAACACCTCCATAAGTTCAAACAGCCCCCAGTTTCACACACTGCTCTGAGCCCTCCCTCACAGGAAACACATCTCGTGGTTTCACACCTACAGTGGTGCTTTTGAACTAAATGAATCGAGGGAGTTGAGATATATGTAGTTTAAACTTTACATACAGTTTTGTTTAAAGTGGACCATGCTATATTTGAATAATATAGTATAGGACCACACCTATATAAGGCATATTTATACTTTTTATTTTTCATAATACCAAACAGATCATGCATATTAGCCATTCCTCATTTCGCTCAATTTAACACTGTCTTTGCGTGGGCTGATTCTGTGAGAACAGCACCATCTACAGGCCTGGCATATGTACTAAAGCGTCTCCAGCGCTTTCGAACGACAATGTCCGTGGCTGTCTCCTCCTGATTGGTGGAGTTGGCCCAATAGCCATAGCGCCACTTCTGTGACGTCATAGAAGTGTTCAAATCTGGATCAGTCTGTATCAGATCCGTTGCAGCCCCTTTTTAAGAGATTTGGGTATGGAGGAAAATAGAGAGGGTTGTGTTTTCTGACACTTGGTGAGTTCCCTGGAACACCGGGGACACATATTCATGTATAAAAGACGTAAGTGCATTTTGCATGATAGGTCACCTTTAACTTATTATACTTGCTTTGTACAGAGCAATAATTAATAAAGCAAAAGGTGAACCCATTTAAGGTTCCTTTATCCACATCATTATTTGTACTTTCGTTTTTAAGATACTGCACATTTTAATGTTCATGTTGACACTATTGTTAGGTTTTTTAATTTTGAGTCTTTTAGGCATCAAAAATCCCAACTTGACTCTGATGTATATGCTCGGCCTCAAAAATAAAGTGTAACTGTTGTTGCGTTAGGATGTTTCTTGTTTCTTTTGTGTCCCTCATGTCGTGTCTGCATATGTCATCTGATGTTCTGTCGGTGAACGTCAATCTGACATCACATCATATACACATGCAAACAGTTTGACTCACCGCTGAGATGTGAGTGTGTGGATGAAGAGTTCTGTGCTGATGTTACCGTCAGTGGCTCACTGGAGGAAAACAGCTGAGTGGTGGGATCAGTTGATAACTTTGGACCCTCTGATGAAGGCCCTTTCAGATCTCTGGTTGTAATGTGCCGTGTTGTTCTCTGGGCCTCTGGTGAGCCGGGGGGACGGGCTGTTGGAGAACGGGTCGTGGTTGTGTGCTGGGACTTTCTTGCTGTGACAGAGAGGAGGTTTATGTTATTATTAAGCAGAAAAGGCATTGCATCATGAAAAGTAAAAATCCCTGCTGACATTTAAACAACTTACAAATCACACTTCTGTTTTGGTTCAATTGAAAAGAAGAAACCAGACTATTTGTAACATATAAAAAGAGGAAATTAAACAGGGCCTGTTTCTTTATTTCGGTCTGTCAAGTTTCACACTCTGGTGAAGTGGACTTTGTCATGGAGTCTCATGTGAAAAAATTCCCTCTTTTGTGCTTTCCCTGTTTTGTGACGATGCAGCTAAAGTTGTACGGTTCCTCTAATACAACGCTTTTCTCAGTATCATTTAAAGTAAACACGTTTTGGTTAATGCTAGGGCCATTGTTTTCACCGATGGTCGACTCTCTGCGGGGGATTCTTTATTGCCACTCACATTGTATCTGGGGAGAGGAGACAGATTTCAAATAAAAAGTAATTCTACTCACAGTTTCTTCCAATTTTGACACGTTTCATTCGAATTTTTGAGTGCAGAGCTGGATGGCGAACAATGCATTTCACAGTTACTCTGTTCTTCACCGACTGAACACACAACATATCCGTTGAGACATATTTTTTATCTTCATGCAGGACTCGGGTAACAGCTGTGGAATGGGACATATGTCATTAGTATCCATTTTAAACAACTCGTACCAGCTGTAATCAGTAGTACTCAAAATATGCTTAGAGCTCATTATTTATTAATATTCTTTTGTGTAAAGAAATAGTTTGTATTTCAGGGGATTCCAAGGGCCAGCAAACAAACTAGCAAGGAAGCCACAGTAAACATAATACAACTGTACATTTTTTTTTTTTAAAGATACAAAAGGACATAACCAATCACATCAATCTTTTAATTACTGAAATCAACATACCAACCCAGTCCCCTTTGAGTTGAATACCTTCCAATTGTGAGGATTGAGTCTCTTGCCAAATTAATACTTTTAGCATTCTGTCTATTAAAAGGATGTTGAATGTTTAAGAAGTCCATGTCAAGAGATTTGGTTTATTATTGTTACACTTGTTGTAAATTAGCCCTACAATTCTAAAGAGAGTTAAAACTACAATCTGTGGCATTCAAAATAACCAAAAAAGATGAGTAACCGACTTTTCAAGTTGTCTATTCTGTCATGAAAAGACAATAATACTCTTCAAAGGTTAGGGCCATCTTTCAACTTTAAATAAAATCTGACAACCCCAGCGCCAGGGTCGAGATTAGTGAGCGAGATGAACCCAGTCCATGGTGGATGATTTCTTTTTAATATACCTCAAGGCCATATCTGCTATTTGTGTACATGGTTGCATTTGACTGGGAACAGAACTATTGGACACAGTGAACCCCTAATCAGAAGGTCATACTGGTACATGATAATCTGAGAGTTTAAGAATAGCATTGTGCAAGATACAAAACCACAGACATGCAGCTACAGATGGCAGGTGATCCAAATGAATGTTACCTTTTATTCCTCACATTAGTTAACTTCTTCATAACAGTGTAGAGTATTTTTTTGCATCTTCAATTATAACAAACTTACCAATAATTTCAGGTCCACCATCCAATTTCCAGAAGATCTGTGGAGGAGAGCGGTTCCCCTCAGCAGTGCATTCTATACAAAACCTCCCTTCAGGCACCTCCTTTTTCACTATACATGTAGGACGGCCTTCAAATGAATCAAAACAGAAAATGTTATTACATTATTACAAAAATGTTCATCAAACAATCAGTGCAATGGTCCTGGGGAGGTGAGGGGTAAAAACCACAGTCAACCTCATGTTGTTGCTGGCTCCAACAGTCTGTGAGCAGTCAATGGAAACAATATTATCTCACCTAACACTGTGACCTCCACTTTCTTCTCTGTCGTGTGATCACCATACTGAGAGCATGTGTAGATGCCTCCATCTTTGAAGGTAACATTGGAAATACTCATGGTGAATTTTGACTCCGACAGTTTGTTGATGCTGTAGCGTTTGTCTCCTAAAGCTGGCAGTGAGTGATGAAAAATATGTTTAATAGGCCCAATTAAATAGTCAGAGATTCTTGCAATTGTTGCCTAAACATTTGACAGCTTGTGTTGGTGCTTTTACCTTTGTCATCTTTACCTTGTATTTGATTGAAGAACATAACATGTTCTTCAGGGTTCTTCCATTCCACGTTGGTCTTGTGAGCATCAGTAACTGGACAGCTTAACCTGAGTGTGTGACCTTTCGAAACAGTCACATGATGCTGCCACACCGCAAGTGAAACTGCAATTACATAAATAGGACAACAATTTCACACTGAGAGCACAATGTCATTTCTACCCCATACAGTTTGAAAAGTGCAACATTTCATAAAATTACAACTTCTAATGGAATTAAAGTCAAGAGCACACAGACGTGTCCGAGGTGTAAACACTGTTTCCCACAGTTTGACTCATCTCATCCTGTGTGTGTTTGCACAGCCCCCCGTGTCACACACTGTTTACTGTGTTTCAGATGTGACAGGAAGTCATGTGGTCAGTTCTTTTAAGGTAAAAGAGAAAGCAGTGGTGGTGGAAGAGAAAGGCTGTAGGCTGATCACGGGGTTCTGGGGGCTTTTCCTTTCCTATGGGGTAAGATGTCGAGCTGTTTGGAAAACACATCTGTGGGGGCATGTTGACACCATCAACACCACCAGTGAGCACACCTTCTTCACAAGCGTGGGTTGTGTAGATATTACATTTCTTCATTTTAACATTTGAACAAATGCTAAACGCGGTAAAATTAATGTTTTCCTTTCCTGAAGCAAACAACGACAACTTCAAAGCACATTATAATGCATAATAATCACCGCTGTAATGGGGAATTATAATACACTTTAATCCCAGCAACAATCACTCTGTTAGTGAGTGAACACTACATGAAGTTTTATGACACATGGCCTTTTAATCATGCATAAACGCTTTATAATACGATGTGCTAGGATTATTTTTATAAAGTATTATGAATATGTGTACTTTTTCATAACTATAATTAGAATAAGTGTGAGTTATTAGTAATCAGAGTGCTACAGTTTTAATACAGTGCTATAAATATATTTAAATCCGTTATTACTATGTTTATAATGCATTATAGAAAGTGTATCCATCTTAGTTGTCTGAAACATCAGTTTGTAATTTCTCTCTTACCCTACCCCACACATTGCGATGGACAGGGGATTCTTTCATATGAAGTCATAAGCAAAGTCATCACTTAAGTCATCTGCCGTTTTTAATAGTCACATTCAGTTTATTAGGCTCATTTCAGGATTATATATTTTTTATCAACAACATATGCCAGTTAGCTAGTATTGAAAGTAAAAGACTCACCCTGTATAAGTAACAGGAAGACGCTGAACCGCAGCTCCACTTCCATCTCTGTCTCTCTGACGCTGGCTCTGACTCTGCTGTGTTTGCACCCTCCTCTCATCTATATACTCCACCGAGGGACCTGCTATGACATCAAAGCCGTGGTTTCACAGCGCTGATCTGTTTAAGGGATTCTTGTGTGAAACCTACAGTAAAGGTACAAGGCCAATAGTTCAGGATGATCAGCTGTTTCTGAAACTGAATGCTGTAGTTGTCCTATCCAACAATCTTTTTCACTGATTTAATTAAAAAGATTTCAATTCACTCAGGCCACGTTTACACGGAGACAAAAATGAACCTTAGTCGATATCAAAAAAGTCTTCCGTCCACACCAGGGGTGCCCAACCTTTTTTAAACCGAGAGCTACTTTTAAAGTTGCAAGTCTGCCGAGATCTACCAGTCCAAATAGAGAGGCATAGCCATTACTGACAGCCTACTACCAGGTAAATACACACTTCTACTTGTATAACACTGACCTTACGATTAATACTTCATAAAATACTGCAGATCCTTTATCTTACCTCTTTCTAATCTACACACATACAAGTATTTAACTGAAGCTACACGTCACATACAAACAGTGCTGCCACATATGACACAGGAAAAAACGAAAAAACACTGAACCCTTTCTTTGCCATTATATAAAAATAGTGTTGCTACAAAAGTATAAATTAGGCTTACAAATAAGACAACTCAGATCTGAAGCTACACAGGAATCTGCTGCCAAAGTGCAATAAAAAAGACAAAATTAATAGAATCAAACCCTTTTTTTGTTGCATTTTAGTAGAGTATAAAAGAAATGCCTTTTAAAATAGGATGCAAGCAACACTAGTTTCTTAACCTGAATTGATAATAGACTATAATCAATTTAAACAGAACAGATCTTAATGTTTGATTCAATGTGTTTGTTTCCTTCAATGTTCAATGTTGATTTCAACAGGGGATCACACCGGACGCGATGCGAATATTCGAATCGTTCTAAACCAGGGGTGGGGAACCTTTTTCCTCTCAAGGGCCATTTCAATTTTTACAATATCCTCCGAGGGCCGTACAAGTTATTGACTTCTGCTTAAAC